CGCGGAAGTCTGGGGTCGGTCCGCCGCCCGCGGTCCTGGCCACACCTCCCTGGGCTCCACAGGGCCAGCCGGCGCCGCGGCCAGGGCGCCCACCCGCCCGACCCAGGAAGTGGCCTCGGGCGCCGGCCCCAGTGGGCGTAGCGCCTCCTCCTGCATCCGCAGGGTGCCGGGCTTCGGAGCAGACAGCCTGCGGCAGGAACCCTGGCCCGGACCACCCGGTACACTCTGGGCGGTTACTGAATCCCGCGTCGGCCCCCCACCTATAAAACGGGAGGGGCAGTCCCCACCTCGCAGGGCCTCGCCCCTACCTATAAAATGGGGGAAGAGGGTAGTCCCACCGCACAGGGCCTCAGCCCCAATCTGTAAAATGGGGGGTAATCCCCACCTCGCAGGGCCTCGCCCCTACCTATAAAATGGGGGGGAGTCCCACCTCGCAGGGCCTCGCCCCTACCTATAAAATGGGGGGAGGGGGCAGTCCCACCGCACAGGGCCTCGGCCCCCACCTGTAAAATGGAGTAATCCCCATCGCGCAGGGCCTCGGCCCCCACCTATAAAATGGGGAGCAGCGGCTGCGGTCTGCACCTCGCAGGGCTGTGCAGATCAAATGGTAACAACTCTATGGAAGACCTGGCATCACACTGGGTGGGCACTTCGGCAGCCCTTTCCACAGGAACTGATGCTCTCGGGGTGGACAGCAAACAAGGGCAAGAACCGGTAGCCAGGGTGGGAAGGTCCCTGATGAGGAGATACTTGGGTGGTGTTTGAACGAGGTGATGGAATAAGCTGTGCAGGTGTGTGTATGTGTGTGTGTTTTGGGGGGAGGGCGCAGCAGCTTCAAGTGCAAAGGCCTGGAGGCACTGTCAAGGTCAGCACACGGGACCTCGTGTGCCCAGGCTGAAGATGGGGAGAGGTGGGAGGTGAGGTCAGAGCACGGGGGAGGGCCAGTCCCACAGCCTAGGTGCAGGTGAAGACCAGCTGGGCTTTCACCTGGCCGCAGTGTGGACGCTGGTGTGGGGGCAGGGAGGACAGACCACTGCAGTAAGCCAGGTGCCAGAGGCAAGGGGGCTCTGCCAGGGCAGGAAGGGGCAAAGGGGCAGCGGGAAGTGCCCCAAAGTGCACAGGTATGTGTGTGTGGGGCTGACATGCACAGGTGTGTAGGAGACTGAGGGGGGCTGACATGCACAGGTGTATAGGAGGGTAGAGGGGAGCCGATGCGCACAGGTATGTAGGAAGCCGAGGGGGGCTGACATGCACAGGTGCGTAGGAGGCAGGGGAGGCCAACATGCACGGGTGTGTAGGAAGGTAGAGGGGGACCCAACATGCACAAGTGTGTAGGAGGCTGGGGGGGGGTGGCCCGACGTGCACAGGTATGTGGGAGGCTGAGGGTGGCCCCCACATACACAGGTGTATAGGATGCCAAGGGGGGCTGGCTTGCACAGGGGTGTAGGAGGC